GGATAGGAGCTATGCGAGGACTAGCTAGGCAGTGACTAGCTAGGCGGAGTACCAACGGTTGGTATTCTAGGTGGATGGGAGCTAGGCAGACTACCAAAATTGGAAAGCTAGGCGAAGTACCAAAGGTTGGGAGGTAGACGGTGACTAGCTAAGCGAGAACTAGCTAGGCGGAGTACTAAAAGTTGATAAGCTAGGCGGATGGGAGCTAGGCAAGGACTAGCTAGGCGAAGTACCAATAGTTGATAACCTAGACGGATGGGAGCTAGGCTGGGACTTGCTAGGCAAGGACTAGCTAGGCATATGACTAGTTAGACGATGACTAGTTTGGCAGAGTACCAAAGGTTGGTAAGCTAGGCGAGGCGAGAACTAGCTAGGGGAGGACTACCTAGGAGGAGACTACCTAAGCAGAGTACCAAAGGTTGGTAAGCTAGGCAGTTGGTAGCTAGGAGAATGAGAGGAAGGCGAAGACTAACTAGTTGGTGACTAACTAGAATGAGTACCAAAAGTTGTAAGCTAGGCGCTTGAGAGCTAGGCGGAGGACTAACTAGGCAATGACTAGCTAGGCGGAGTACTAAAGGTTTGTACGCTAGACATATGGGAGCTAGGCGGGAACTAACTAGGCAGGGACTAGCTAGGCGGAGTGCCGAAGGTCGGTAAAATAAGCGGATGAGAGCTAGACGAAGACTATCTAGCCAAGGTATAGCTAGACAGTGACTTGCCAGGCGGAGTACAAAAGGTTAGTAAGTTATGTGGATTAGAGTTATGCGAGGACTAGCTAGACGGTGACTAGCTAGGCGGAGTACCAATGGTTGGTAAGCAAGGCGGATTTGAGCTAGGCGAAGTACCAAAATTTGGTAAGCTAGGTAGATTATCAAACGTTGGGAGGTATGCGGTGACTAGATAGGTGGTGACTAGCTAGGCGGAGTACCAAAGGTTGGTAAACTAGGCGGATGGAGCTAGGCGAAGACTAGCTAGGCGGGGACTAGCTAGGCAGAGTACCAAAGGTTGGTAAGCTAGACAAATGAGAGCTAGGCAAGGACTAGGTAGATGGTGACTAGTTAGGCGGAGTACCAAAGGTTGGTAAACTAGGCGGTTGGGAGCTAGGCAAGGACTAGGTAGATAGTGATTAGCTAGGCGGAGTGCCAAAAGTTGGTAAGATAGACGATTGGGAGCTAGGCGAGGACTAGTTAGGCGTTGACTAGGTAGGAGGAGTACCAAAGGTTGGTAAGGTAGACAGATGGGAGCTAGGCGTGGACTAGCTTGGCGGTGACTAGCTAGGCGGAGTACCAAAGGTTGGTAAACTAGGCGGATGGGAGCTAGACGAGGACTAGTTAGGCGGTGACTAGCTAGGTGAAATACCAAAGGTTAGTAAGATGGGCAGATTAGAGCTAGGCGAGGACTAGCTAGGCGATGACTAGCTAGGCGGAGTACCAACGCTTGGTAAGCTAGGCAGATGAGAGCTATGCGAAGTATCAAAAGTTGGTAAGCTATGTGGAGTACCAAACGTTGGGTGGTATACGGTGACTAGCTAGGCGGAGTGCCAATGGTTGGTAAGCTAGTGGGATGGGAGCTAGGCGATGACTAGCTAGGCGGAGTACCAAAGGTTGGTAAGGTAGGCAGATGAGAGCTAGGCGGTGACTAGCTAGGCAGAGTACCAAAGGTTTTTCAGCTAGGCGGTTTGGAGCTAGGCGAGGATTAGCTAGCCGTTGACTAGGTAGGTGGAGTACCAAAGGTTGGTAAGGCAGGCGGATGGGAGCTAGGCGTGGACTAGCTTGGCGGTGACTAGCTAGACGGAGTACCAAAGGTTGGTAAACTAGGCGGATGGGAGCTAGACGAGGACTAGTTAGGCGATGACTAGCTAGGNGGAATACCAAATGTTAGTAAGATAGCGGATTAGAGCTAGGCGAGGACTAGCTAGGCGAGGACTAGCTAATCGGTGACTAGCTAGGCGGAGTACCAACGGTTGGTAAGCTACGCGGATGGGAGCTATGCAAAGTATCAAAAGTTGGTAAGCTATGTGGAGTACCAAATGTTTGTGGTATGCGGTGACTAGCTAGGCTGAGTACCAATGGTTGGTAAGCTAGTGGGATGGGAGCTAGGCGATGACTAGCTAGGAGGAGTACCAAAGGTTGGTAAGCTAGGCGGATGAGAGCTAGGCGGTGACTAGCTAGGCGGAGTACCAAAGGTTTGTAAGCTAGGCGGTTGGGAGCTAGGCGATGACTAGCTAGACAGGGACTAGCTAAACAGAGGACTAGCTAGGAGGAGGACCAAAGGTCGGTAAGCTAGACGGATGGGAGCTAGGCGAGGACTACCTAGGCGGGTACTAGCTAGGCGGAGTACCAAAGGTTGGTAAGGTAGGCGATTAGGAGCTAGTCGAAGACTAGCTAGGTGGAGGACTAGGTAGGCGTTGACTAGGTAGGTGTAGTACCAAAGGTTGGTAAGATACGCGGATGAGAGCTGGGCGAGTATTAGCTTAGCGATGACTAGTTAGGCGGAGTACCAACGGTTGGTAAGCTAGACAGATAGGAGCTAGGCGAGGACTAGCTATGCTGAGTAGCAAAGGTTGGTAAGCTAGACGGATGAGAGTTAGACGAAGACTATCAAGGCGATGACTAGCTAAGCAGTGACTAGCTAGGCAGAGTAACAATGTATGGTATACTAGGCGGATTAGAGCTAGGCGAGGACTAGCTAGGCGTAGTACCAAAGGTTGGTAAACTAGGCGGATTAGAGCTAGGTGAGGACTAGCTAGGCGAGGACTAGGTAAATGGTGACTAGCTAAACGGAGTACCAAAGGTTGGTAAGATAGGCGGTTGGGAGCTAAGCGAGGACTAACTAGACCGAGGACTAACTAGGCGGATTAGAGC